GTTTACAACACACAAATGAGGCCAAAAGAAAGGATAAGAGCCTTAGGCTCATTTATTCAGCCCACAAACCAAGAAAAACCAAGCACATGTGAAAATTTCTTAACACAAGAGGAAACAGCATCCTGCCTGGTACCCACAAAACACTCTCATCTTTAGTAAAACTCATTAAAACAAAAAAAGCAAACTAAAAACACAAAAAAGAACTTATGCTCAACCCTAAGCAGCACAGGTAACTAAAAAAAAAAAAAGAGAAAGAATGCAGAATTACAAAATGCTTAAAAGAACAGTATCTAAAGGCATTAAAATAATTAATCATCAAGCTTCCTCATCATGCACTCAGACAGTGCAAGATGATGGAAACTTGATGATTAATTATTTTAATAATCAGTGCAGTCAGACTAAAGAAGCAGCGCTCATCACTCAGGCAACCAGTATTTGTATTTTTCAACACATCTGTTGCAAAGACTGTTTAGAGAGTAAAGACAGTTTACTGCTGCCCTACCACAGTCTCACAGTCATGCTCTGCAGCTGGAAAACATGAGAAGTCACCTTCATAAACCAATAACTCTTCTTTCTCAATCCCATGGCTCATGTAAGTATTTGAGGGGGACTGAGCTGACAGGTTTTCCCACAGCCCACTCAGCATTCATTCTGTGCCTGGGCTCCACAAGGCACAGAAACAGCTAAACCAACTGTGCTAAGGTTTTACATGCAGCTTTGCAACTGCAGTAACTGAAGCTTTCTTTCAGAGCTTGCAGATTACTTTAGACAAATATATCATGAAGACATTCTTACCTGCAGCAGGGTCCTTCTCCTGGCATTCTCCTGGCACTGCAGCAGCAGGCAGCCTTCAAGGTGATGTGGGAGAGCTGCCCACCCCTGGCACAACACTCACCCGCCTGTCACTAGCTGCCAGCTGGTAAAGCGAAGCAACAAGGTAAAAGAAAAGACAGGGAAAGGGAGCAGTGCACTTTCCTCCCCAGTCTGCAGTGGGTAGAGAGCATGCCACCTGCATTTTGTCCTTGGAAATAAAAGGCAAAGTGCGGGCACTGGTTCCTCCCTCTTGGTTGGGTTGCAGCAGCTACAAGGCTCTCTGTGTCACTTTGATCTGCTCCAGCAGGAGACCACCTTCAGATGCCTCTTTGCCCTCCACAACTGGTGCTCAATTCCCAGGCTCTCGGTGCAGGGCTAGCAGTGAGAGCTCTTTTCCTCCTTGGCAACTCTGACTACAAAGGTGCAGCACAGCCGCTAGCTGGGGAAATGGGCAGCCTCCCACTCCCTTCACTCCTTGTCCTGCCTCTGCCATGTTAGGTGCATGGCACCAGGGCAAGCATCAGGCTGAGATGCAGCCAGGATGTTGGCACACTGCAGAAAAGTTCTATGCCCGAAATAAACATTTTAAAAAAGGAAGTCACTTTCTCCTGCCTTGGTTACCAAACTTTACCGGGCCTCTGCAGCTAGACTACAGTCCAACAACATTTTCATTTACTCCACGTACAATATTTGAGTTCAAAAGCAGGTCAGAATAGCACTGGTCTTTGAAAAATATTTGAAATACAAGTTTTCTGTCAGAAGAGTAAATCCAGCTAAAGATGTAAGAGGGCAAGATGAGATATACAGTTCCTTTAAAATATATCACCACATGAGATCTGAGGAAGTGGAAATCAACTGCAGTACTGGTGATATGAAGAGAGTCAATAATTCAAGCACTCTGGGCAATATTTTACCCTTAACTATAGATTAAAGTTATTGTTCCTCTTTTGACTTGATCACTGGAGCAGGGTTCTGGTTAAAATTTCACCTGATATGATTTCTTTTTGGTAAAACGCAGTGTAGGCCTCAAGTGACTCCTGCCCAGCTAAGCAGTTCAGAAACCAACAGCAGATTGATCAAAGGATGTGTTGAGGGTAATCTTCTGCCCTCAGCAGCCCTCCTGTGGGCCCCGATGCTGGTCAAACATGGGGTTTGTTGCCATCCTCAGGTGTAACACAGATGTTTGAGGACAGACAATGGAGATAGTTTGTGTTGTCCACCCTGGCCTCAGCCAGGCGGCCGTTTCACACAGCCCCACACCACACACGGCCGCCGGCTCTGAGGGGAGCAGAGGCACCTCAGGAAGCTCCCAGGTGACTCAAGAACGAGCAGCAAAAGCAGCCAAGCAGGAATTTGTTCTCTCCACAAGCAGGGCCCAAGGCGGGCTGTGCTGGAGCCCTCATGCTCCTGGGCACAGGAGGTGCCCTCATGCTGGGCAGTGCTGTGTGCCCGCCTCCCTCACACCACGCCTCCAGCACTGCGGCACTGCTTCCCCAAGGGAGGCACTGCCAGCTCTTCCAAAGTGCACTAGGACTTGGGAGCTGTCCACCTCCCAGTTCAGGTGTTCAGTCCACCTTTTCTTTCTCTTTACTCACCTCTACAGTGCCTCGTATTTTCTTCTTCCACACTTCCCAGCACTGTGAATGTTTAAGGACCACTGGCCTTTTTAACCAATTTTAAAAGAATATACCTCACCCAAACACCTAATTGGAGGAAAACCAAGCATTTTTATTTGTCTAATAGTGATTAAGACCACTTGTGAGAATCTGAAAATAGCAAGACAATGAAAGAGGTACATACGCTGCCCAGAAGTTTTCTCAGAAAAATAAATTACAATTCATTTAGATTATAACATTCTGCAAGGCTTGGGTTTGTTTGTTTGGCTTGGTTAGTTTGTGTGGGGTTTTTTTTGTGTATTTAAATCACTGAAGTTTCAAACATTACTTCCTTTGTGCACAGGTGTGCTGAATTTAGTTTTACTCTAATTTTATGTCAAAACACTAACGTTAATCTAATTCACTTGAAAAGTAAGCAACCACAGAAGTGCTCCACTTGTGTCCAAATGCAGATATAACCTGGTTTTGTGTCTTTTAGCTCCCTTAAATTTCCTGTTCATATGTGAAAGCAGAGGCCCAAGCTGACTCCTAAAATGACAACATATTATTCTTTTTCCCTTTTACACATTTAATTTCTTCACAGTGCAGGTGTGTACGTCTTTGACTCTGTTTCCTTGGGATACTTGGTTTTAGCACCTTCCTCAGGACACAGAGGGATTAGTGTTTACCAAGGTGCCACTCGGAGCTGGAGGCCACTGCAGGGCCAGCAGGGCCGATCAATCCCCGGGTGCCAGAGCAGCATCTCAGCTTCCCACTCCCGCCTCTGGAAAGAGAAATTCTACACCATGACAGCTAACTCTTTAGCAAAGTTCACCTCAAACCCTCAACCTCAAGTGTTAAAAAAGAAAAGCCCTTAAATGATACAAGTTATTACATTTAATCCCTTTGGGGGAAGTGGGGAATGATTTTGTGATTAAGGACCTACTGTGGGGCTCAAGAGAATTAGTTCAATTCCAGACTCTGAAACAAGCTTCCAGGTTCCCCTGGGAAAGCCTGTGCAATCTCCTATCTCACACGGACACCAGCAGGGCAATTTGTAAGTGTGTGCAGCCCTCAGACATTGTAGTACCAACAGCTAAATAAATTCATAGTTAGGACTTAGGTGAGGTTCAATAATTTTGAGGGCTAGTTACCTATTCAATGACAGCACTACCATTACACTATCACTTACCACAAATCATTCTTAAAAATTGGTATTACATTCTTGAAAAATAGTAAGCTACATTATTACTTACTCCAGGGCTGACAGGTAGTTCCTAAGGGTTTAGTTAATGTATTAATGAAAATGATGAATGAATGAAAAAACCTGCAAGATAAAAATAAATTGGCAGGTCTTAGAGAAAGACACCACTTAGTTCTCAAGCACAGAACTATTTTCTACGGTATGCACTGCAGAGCAATTTTGTTCCATTAAAATTTCTAGCTGGTATTGTTTCTTGGAAAAAAAAAATTAAAAGAATTGATCTAATTCATAGAATGAATAAATTTAATAATGAACACTCATCTGACAATGAGTTGTGATAGAGAAAATCCAGCAAGCACTATCAGAAAAACATAATACTGAAGTCACTGTGTAGTCACCTTCTAGACAGTGAAGTGCTGCACAACGCACTATGATGACATTAGACAATTTGTCTTGCAAAAAGAACAAAACAATTTAATTACTCTGATATTAATTACTCATATTTAATTACTCTGATACTGTTAAGAACACATACTAGTCATGTTCTTTGCTATTCACTACCAGCGGAAATTTTCTCCTACTATTATGAAAAACAGATGCTACACACCAGAGATATAAAGCAAAAGCTACTTCCCATTTTTAAAGACATGGCAATAATTTTACAATTTCACTCATTTCTGCAAAGGTATTGTGCCTATTATGGTTGCAGGTAATGATGTATTTAATGCATTACAAAAGTTACATTCAGTAACTTGGCATATACTTCACATACTTCTAAAACTATTTTCTGTAGGAAAACAATCATCTCTCTCAGAAATTGGAAAAATCCCCATAAAATTTCAAGATCAGCATTGCTGACATGTTTCTATTCAATCTATAAGCAATATTTTAATCTTAATATTAAATATTTTGCATGTATTAAGTCCACGTATGCTTGGTATTTTCATGGAATGGATGTAAAAAATGTTTAAATCTGATATTTGACTGCAGTTCTTCACATTATTTTACGTCACTACTTTTCTAATTATAGTTATTTCAATTTTTTTCTTTAATTTTCCCACTGTTATAATTTCAACTTATAATAGAAGTTACAACAGTTGAAAATTAAAAATATCCAATCACTAGCAAATTAAGCATTTAAGAGGCTGATATAAAACTGTTTCAAACTGTCAGTTAACAGACCAGCAACTCACACCAACAGTTCTTGGTTAGTGTCTTCACCTTCACCCCTCTAAGGTAAAATGCAGAAACGACTGAGGGATTTTCCATGAATTAATAGAAATTCCATCCATCCTACCCAACATGCAGAGAAAGCCAGGTCTGATGAGACCTGCCCATTGTAATCTGAATAGTCTGATGAAATTCAAACACAAGCTGAAACTGGGGGCAACTGTGTAAAATACACAACTTTATTCTGTGACTGTTTACAACTTGAATTTAAAATCACAAAGGTGCAGCAGTGACATTCATGAGCATTTGTTTTAAAGGAAAAGCCTTCTTAAATTTTTCATTTCTTGCAGGTGACAGAGGGTGTGATGTTGGTTACAGGACTTCCACTATTCTCAATGCTGTCAGTGTCTTCTTAGCTAAAGCTCCCCGTTGCTGCTGCACTGGTTTAACAGGAATGGCTGTGACAAAATATAACAAATATTGTAAGGCAGTTGTAGTTTCTGCATTTGCTCATCCTCCCCACATCTGCTTACATCTAAAAATCAATCCCCTCTTTCATCAGTGAAAGGTTAATTGCCACCTTAATATTTCATTTTATTGTATTATCAAACCTAATGATTTGATATACACTTTTGTATGTTCCATGTCCTTGTGGTGTCCCACCCTGAAAGGGAAAGAATCAGGCATATATGCCCATGGCTGGATAGGAATGACAGAAGTAGGAGGGACCACAAAAACTCACAATGTTTTATTAGTTAATTAAACACTTGGCATGAAAAACTGGTTATTTAGTCCTTGTAGCATAAACACATGGTGGTGGATTTTTGAGTAAGGAGTGGAGGGAGTGGAGGGAGTGGAGGGAGTGGAGGGAGTGGAGGGAGTGGAGGGAGTGGAGGGAGTGGAGGGCAATATGGAAACAGTACTTTTCAGGCTGACATGGGCTTGAAGAAAAATGACTGCTGTTTTCATTATTTAAATGAGAAGTTCTTTAAATCATTATTTAAATGATTTAAGTTCTCCAGCTAGAATAGATGTGTAGTTGTTAGCATCAGGTTCTAGCCAGAAATTATTTACAGTTATTAAACCAAACAGCTACAGGGCTTTGTCACTCACCTGGTGGCTAAAGGGCAGGTGTCCCTCCAAGCTGTGGCCATTTTGCAGGTTGATGTCAAGAACATCCCAGAAGTCCAAATCTTTTAACAGGTGCTAAAAGAAGAGGTGGAGGATTTTCCTGTGCATCTGAGAGTCCTGTTTGGAAATAGTTTTTGTGTTTTGTTGTCAACTGCTTTAAAACAAACAGTAAAATCCACCTTTGTTTGTACAGGACACTCCTTTAACTGTGAAGGTCTAAAACCACCAGGCCTGAAAACAGGTAACTGAAAGCAGATACAGCAATGAGCACTGCAGCCCAACAGCTACAAACGCCTTGGCCTCTCTCATTCAGTGCCCTACTTTAAAAGATGTACAGGCACTGAGCTACCAGTCCCATAGGTATTAACAACACAGCACACTGACCTGCAGTGCTACTAATCATAGCACGAGCACACTACAAAGTCAAACTCTCTGATATTAATGTTAACCTGCACACAAGTTAAAACAAGTTAAAACTGACAAATGAAGTGCAATTGGTATGAACAGTTAAAGTCAGATTTTATTTCATGACAAACAGATGTCATCTGAGGCTGGTTCTAAGCAAGGATTTAATCCATAATGTAGGTCACTAGTTTTGATAGAGTTTGTGCCTAGTATTCATCCAAGGAATCAGACTCGGTACATCAATAGCTGTCAAGAGTGTGCATGTAGTTTCTTTTTACACCAGTGTTTAATAAAATAAAATAATCCAATTAAGCAGATGTCACAATATTTTTTTGCTGACTTTCCCATAATTTTCAATCATTAAAGCAGTATTTAATTTACAACAAAACACTATAATCCTATGCATCCAAGAATATTCATGTTTAAAATTTGAACCGCCCTCACCGTTTCTGCTGCCCTTCTGGTTTCCCCATGAGCTTCAGTAACTCAAAAGAATTGCAACCAACTTGGTAACTAAAAAAGAAAGCTTTGTGGAATGGGAAAAGTTCACAACAGGGGAGGAAAAAAAGCATTCTAAAATAGCCAGGTGTTCACCTCAACCCATACCAACTTCAAACAGATGCAAGGACATAGCTGAATCTGATTTCAGACTAAGGACATGAAAGATGAGTTTTATGTTCTTATGCTTTTATAACATTAGAATGAATTCATTTTTAGATAAAGAATAGTATACTCCCCTACTCTCCAATTCTTTCACATAAAATTTGCTCTGAAAATAGCATGGCTGAGTTCCACTCTTTCAACTATTATTTGATCACTGCCAAATATTTGCAAGTTCAGATTTTTCCACATCTCACCCATCTACTTGATTGCAGTTCATGTAGTACCTAGGTTTTGTTCTACTTCTATGAATAAATGTACCGTGGCAAGGGATCAAGTCAGTCATGGAAAAAGAACGAATTACTTTGAAATACGAAGCTGTAAAGTGCTGAAAGAGTGCTGGAAGAAGAGCCCGTGACAGCCTTTCACCCAAGTCAAGGTTTAACCTTAGGAAAGGATGACTAGCCTAAGACAGCAATACTGCTTGGCAGCAGAGGGGGTGAAGGTGTGTTCAAGGTGTGGATGGCAGTGCCTGTCCATGGCCTTACATCCTCATGAGATTGTGTCTTCAGGTGAAGGATGAGTTTGTTCAATAAGTTTGGGTCTAAATAAACAGAAGTGGTGAGCAAGCCTTCAAAAGAAACTAGGAGCACAAGTAGCTGCCTGCAAGAATCTCACTATCCTCTTATCACAAGGGCATAGAAGAATTCTCTGTAGAGTAGTTCTACAGACAAAATGACACCAATATTCCAAGTCTATAACTTACATATGTGTTGGGTGGGGATTTTTTTTGAGGTATTCTTCTCAATTTTAAACTTTTAATTAAAATAAGTTTATATTACTGAATCCTGTTAAACCAAGAGTTGCATTTTATTTTGATGGATATCACTAACTTAAATGCATTTCTGCATACAGTGTTATTACAATTTAAATCCTCAACAGCATTAGTAGATGATCAAATACTTTGCAACTGTAACCTGTGAGAGAGCAATTCCCCATCAGGGACACGTGTATATGTCTTTAGAACATGTCTAATTTTGTGAAAAATATCTGCACATACTGCAGGGTGCACATGCCCATTAACAGACACACCAACATTTTATACACAAACTTTTGATCTCTAGTGCCTGTCATTTATTTACAGATTATTTCTTATATATAAGCAAGCTTAAATCAGATTTAAAAGTTGCTCCAAGTTGTATTTCAGAGGGAAAAAAATTAATACCTTCAATTATCTCGTAGTTGAAGAGTCACTTACTGGGTTCAACTCCAACCAATCCAGGTATTTTCCTGCTTGTAACAGAAATAAGTCTCATGTCCAGAGGCACACTGCACATCTCACAGCTCCCATGCTAGGCAGTCACCTGCCAATCAGCTGTCTAGTGTGAAACCCTGGTACACTCAGCAGGTCTGTTCCCAAGAGCCTTAACTATGAGAGCCAGTGCACCCTGCACAGACACGTTATGATGTGCTACAGAGAACAGAGAGATGGCTTTATCAAACTGGTGTTTGCATCGACTTTGCACTTCTCCAGACAGATGAAAAATACAGCTGCTGAGTCTGTGCAATATATCAGAGTGAGATGTTTAAAGCCCAGTATTGACCCAGCCCTCCTGTAGCTGCAGAGGTTAGTTTTGATTTAGAACCTGTATATGAACTCAATTTGAAAAATAAATGAAAAGCTGTAAGTTCTCCTTCCCCCTGTCAAATCATTATTGGTCAGTTTTAACTTTAGATCATGAACAAGATAAAGATTCCCAATTCTACACAAAGTCTTTCACAAACATCTACACCCAAAATAATAGGATTTGTACAGATTTTTTCTTCATTTCAGAATATTTTTAACTGAAGAACGGGGCAGTTACTTTTGCTCCAAGAGAAATTGCATTTTTGTTACTGTGTTCCTGATACATGAAAATATGTGAAATGTGTAAATGAACAATAAAAAGTTCTGAAACAAATAGAGATAAATCTTAAAATGCACTTTTTATTTAGTTACATAGAATCAACACAAGAAACTGAAACTATAACTAGGCAATTACTATGTAACTTCTATCATTTAATTATTATATTTGAGTTTGTTAAGTGCATTTTATGCCACGTAAGCAGTAATCCAGGACAGACATTGAATCACTACATGTATTATGTATTATTAGAAATTAATTCAGTGAACTATTTCAAAGCTGTCTCATTTTAACTGGGTCAAATTCTGTTACCCAGAAGTGCAATGAATCTGTGTTTAAAATTTAAATGCGTTTAAAGAAATTTAAACTGCAGTTCTGAATGGAGAATACTTTAAGTGACATCTCTCAAACAACTTAAACTTTCTCTAGATAGAATAATGAAGTCTGATTACAGGGCAAGAGGAAAATGCTATGTTGAGCTATTCAAGAATACAAAACAGTCATTTAACTTCTTGGAGTGCAGGTGTGAGATCTGATTTACGTGAGGTATGTTATTTTCACCTCATGTTCAGGCTTCTGTAAGTGATTGTCTATAATCCTAGAATAATCCCCTGAAGAAAAGAGAAGTTGGTTACATAAAACTAAAAGGCTGTGTCACTGTTTCCCATTGCTGGGCTGTTGCCATCTTGTATGTACCAGAAGTCACAAGTACCAAGTCCAATGCTGAGCTGTGAGAAACCCACAGAACAATGTGTTCTTTGATCAGAAACACCTTCTACAAAAATGGGAGGTATCTGTGAGCTCTATTTTAAGCTATGCAGAAAAGAAAGTACTTGTTACAGTAGGAAGTTGTAATATACATCAGAGGAAAATTTTTAGTTAATGATTCCTGCTTGATCACATTTTAGTGATAGAGTGAAAAACTATTAACATTTATATTTATAATCCGATTCTATCTCATCATCCTAGCATACTGAGAAATATTCAGCTGAAAAGAATATTGTCTATTATAAACTATTACACTGACATTACCGTAATTTTGTTAGTAGTCTGGTTTTTTGCAAAAATACTGAAGGTAGCTCAAAAATTAAGACTAGCAATACATATGTTCTGAGGATTGATGCTGAATCCTTTAAGAATCCTTAACCTTTAAGAATTTTACTGATAACTTGATTTTAGTCATTTAACTTGGAAGACTGCATTTCTTAGCAATGTAAAGAGATGAAAGTCAAAAATTCCATTTGCTTCGCCAACAAAAATGTTTGTTAACACTGATCCTGAAATTACCAGTGGAACAGTAGACAGTCAAGGAAGAACTAACTTTTTATATTGGAATACACCTACTTTTTTAAGTACCTCTAAAAGTGTCTTATCTACATAATAAAGCAACATATTTAGTTTAAAACAACTGAAAACAAGTTAATTTCTCAGCTTTGCTATTTAATTGTTTAAAAAAATTATAAGTCCACTTACAACCTGCTCCAATTATCCCACATGATCTTTGCATTTCAGACGCATTAACCAACCCAGCTGAAGGAGTTGTAGCTCTATCTGGATTCCTGTGCCTAAACAATTCAATATATCACTAAACTATGATAGTAGCAGAGATTTCCTAACTCTCATTTGAAGAGATTATGTACTACTACACACGTGCAACATTCCATGAACTGGAAGAGAGAATCTCTGGTGTAGTTCCAGTCATATCACCATCAGAAGGATATATGTCAAATTTGGAAGTCAGTGAGGAGGAAGGGAATTAAATATTGCAAAAGATATTGCCTAGGTGCATAAGAAATTTAAAAACTAACTAGAAGTTTTAAGGTGATCCAGAAACATTAAATAGGCATGATCTTCAAACATTATCTACATATTTGCAGGGTCATATTTCTGAACTGGGTTACACCTACCTATGTAATTACCCTCTCTGCAACAGAATTAGCCAAACCCATTAATAGAAACCTACTTTTCCTCCTTGCTGGTGGCATCAATGACAATCAGGAGGTGTCTGATTCTTTCTGCATCTGTTGGTAAAACTGTGTGTATAGCTTCCCTCTACAACCACCCCTGGTGTAGTCATCTGCAGCCAACTGGAAAATCAATTAAGGAGCAGCATAGACTGTAAAACTGTACTAGAATGTCATCAAGTTTCACTACTTTACTGCTTAATAATGCTGCTAAAAATTATAAAAATGGTTCCTTAAAGCAAGGGGTTCCCCTCACCTCCCCCCACTTTTCATTTCCCCTGAGTATATTTCTTAGACATGTAAAAAATGCTGAGAAACATGGTTGGTTAAACTGGGCTGCAAACTTCTCAGAATTATTCTCCTGAGAGCAGCCCATTCATCTATTCCAATCCACAGAACATTACTTTTGTAGCATTCTCTCCTGAATTGTTTTCCATTTTGACTCAAATCTCACTCCAAGGGAAGGCAGTGCAACTAGGAAAAGCCACTAGACTACAGCCAGACACTACAGACTAACCAGGAACATCTTTCACCTGTGCTACAAAACATCTTTCATAAATACTTTTAAAGCCATGTTGAAAAAATACCCACAATAGATGTACACCAATGTAGGAGTCATCAGAAATGAGCTTGCTTGCCTATCTCCACCAGAAGCCACCTTCTAATTTTTTTGGGATCTGCAAAATCTACACACAGCGTACCAAAGGCCAAAAGTACAAGCATATTTATACAGTCCTATTCAGGCAGTATTTGCATAATGAATCTACATCACTGCTTGGCTAAGTTACTATTATTATTAGATACTATTAAATATGATTATTTGCTGAAGATTCTCTCACCTTGCTTTAAAGGTATGGTGCATTTTGTAAAGATTTCTACTAGGAAAGATAAGAATATGAGTTTAGGTATATGTTACCAGAAAAGACTTTTAAAAGCTAGACTAATCCAAAGTGTTAAACAAATAAAATAAGCATACTTAATAGATTTTCACACTACATTTGTTTTGTAAAGAGCACCATATCAACTAGACGTGATATACTATTTTTCCTTCACCACTCTTCATTAACAAACTCTAGGGAGATGTGAAAAGGTCAGATTTCCTTCTTTGGGTTTGCCTAAATTTTACTGAATGCAGTATAACACACTAAGAGCAGCTCAGTCAGCTCCTCCTGACAGTGCTTAAATAAAACCTAAAATACATGGACATCACAACAGTCACAGCAAAAATTTGCAGTCACAGTGGGACATTTTAATCCAAACTTTCTGCTTACTCAAGATGCTTCTAAAGCTTTTGCTACATCCATTTTCCCCTTAAGTAAAGAGGTACTGAAAAGTATACTGCAGCAAGTGCCTTCATTAAGCATCAGCACTAGAAGTGACTTCTGCATTAAGGGAATAGAAATTTAGCAGAATAAACACCCCCTTTGCATTCCAACTGGTCTTCAGAGATCAGAGGGGCTGGGTGTGACCAGGTTTGATTTCTGATTAGAATCAATTAAGCACTATAGGTCTCATTGAATTCAGTAAGAACCTCCATGATTACAGGTTCATAAATAGTACAGTTTATTGAAGCAACAGGAAAGCAGGTTCAGGATTGCCAGTTATAAGGGCATTAACAATGGATTTTGTTTTATAAAGGTACTGATAACCTGAGTACAAATAATTAAATATAAAGAATCCATTTAAATTCTGTATTTATACAGAAACAGTGTTTTTCCTCAGAAGATGATTAACCAAAAACCCCAAGAGAAATTATCTCCCATTTCTCTGGTATAGCTGCAATACTACAGAGAGAAAAGCAAGGGAAGTTTACTTAACAGAGAGATTGCCATGGATATGCCCTTCTGGAAGCAGGTATAGGGTGGAGCTGTGTGAGTAAAAAGCTATAATCAAATTTGTGTTCTTGTGGCTATTTTGTTTGTTTTTCATAAGAAGCACTTATTAGGCTGTTAAGGAATCCTTGTTATGCAAAAGTAGTATCAACTTTAACCCTACAGGACAAGCAGACAACTGAATGCAAACAACCTTCACAGCAGTTGCTGTGAATAGGATCTCAAGCTGAACAAACAAATGCCCAAAATGATGGCAGGAAACAAGAAATACAGTAAGAAATACAGCATATCCTGGCAAGCCAGCAGTGTACATGGCTCATCGTTTCAAAAGCCAACAAACCTCCTACTCCTGTGTCTGGCACAAAGCAGGCTGTGAGCAGAGCAGCTCAAACAAGTGATTAGATGCCAGCTCTCAGAAGCTGCCACAGGAATGCAGCTGTTTCAGCACCACAACCTGTCCCACTGTGCTCTGCACCCATCACAGCTGGTGGGAACACCTCAGGGCTACCCCACCCAGAGGTGGCAGCTGCCAGCCAGGAAGGGAGATGGGGACATACCCATGGGGAATGACCAGGCACACAGGAACGGTGGCCCCATCACCTCTCAAGGTTTGCCTGCCCACAGCACAGATTCCACACCACTACCTCCAAAAGAAATGAAACAAATCCAGCTTCCAGTCTTGGCTTCTCCGCATCGTTAGTAACAAACAGTTTGGTTTTCCTATGAGCCTGTATTGTTGTGGTCTAATGTTTTTGGCACAAATCTAAGATTTCAAAGAAAAATGTCCTTGTTCTAAACACTTAGCTTTCAACCTGAGAGTCAGTAAAAGAAGTTGTCACTCTATTATCATACTAGGAGTGACATTTGAAGGACTAAAGCAGCCTTGAAAACAAGGCAAAATCAGGCGAATACAGCTTTTAGAAAACCAAATACAATGTGTAGCAGAATATGGGGATTAAGGGGCTGAGAAAACTCTACTGGGGAATTAAATGGGAAGGACTAGAAAATGGAAAAGCTGAATAAATATGGTTCAAGACTGAGTAAGAATCCATATCCTATTTTTAAAAAATGACTAAAAAGTGAACAAGAAGTTGATGAGGGAGTTTCTTGTGCTAAGTGTAAGCAAATCTGGGAGAAAATAAATTCCCTTGCATTCCAGCTGATCCTCAGTTATCAGAGGGGCTTGGGGTGGCTGGGCCTAATTTCTGAGTAAAAGCCAATTCAGCACAGTAAGTAAATGCAGAGCCAGTTCAGCACTAGAAGTTCAGCCACATTCCATAAGAACTAACATGGCCTGATTCACAAATAGCAAATTATTGAAGCAGCAGAAATGCAGATTCTTATTGGATTGCTGGATTCGATTTCTTGCTCAGAAACTGATGTGCCTCTAGTGTTACAGCTGTGTAAAGAAGAACAATAATCTAAACAAGAGATTAAGTTATCCTGAATAAAAGAAGCCGGTCTTCTGAAGTGTTAGATGGAACATGATGGTGAAGTTTTACCACACCTGCTGTAAGTACCTAAAATGATAAAAAATCTCATTCCAGGTGCAGAAAAAGAGCAGAGGAACACAAATTAGCTTTACAGTTCAAACCATTTATATAATCTCAAGACATAACTTATCATGTTCAATGTGGCAGAACAAGTTTCATACTACATTTCTAAGAAGTGAAAATGAATCTTCTATTACATCAAGCCACACACAATCCATATTTCTGCACTATACTTACATTGTGTAGAGATGATCCTCTGGATTTCGTTCAGATGTCTAGCAAAAGGCATTCTCTTTTCTACAGATTATGCATCTATTTGATGAAGCTCATCTTCCAGGATAAACTTTAAAATATTTTCTATTGGCCTGCTAAAAAAAAAAAAAAATAAAGTTACGGAGCTTTCTGATCAGATTTTTTTTTTTTTGTTGTCTAAACCAAGTCCAGAGTATGGATCCTCTTACAGAAAAACCCCAGCAGTACTGTAGATAAGTAAAAGACTCCACAGGGAAAATGAGATGAAGAAAAAAAGGACAGTCTCTCGGTAAGATTTAAGCTTTAAGCTTCCAAAATCTACTCAAAAAAGGAATATAAAGCATATAAACACTATCATTGTATCACTAAATGCAAGTTAGGATTATACTCTTCAAACTTACTTCAGTAAACAGATTTATAAAAATACAGGTTTAGTAAATGCAAAAAGACTGAATACGTAACAGTCTCAAACATTACCATGGTATCTCTGAAGCAACACTTTGCCTCAAGAGGGAGGGATTGTTCAGAGGAAAATGAATGTGAGAAAGGATATGTAGACTAGGAAATGCAGACGGCTGGAAAAGCAAAGTAAGAAACAAGTGACCCATCCTGATTATCTCTGATAGCAGATGCTGCCAACAGATGCTCTCACATTATGCTCCAAGTACAGCTGTGAGAATCAGAAATAGATACCAAAGATGCTACACTCAGAAAGAAGCATTCCTTGCACCTCAAGAAGAGATATTTGAGACAGCACTCTAAACTGAAAAAGCATGGTTCTTCCAACCACCTCTGCCTTGTGAAGCAATCCAAGAGTACACCCAGCCCTTTTGCTTAGGCTGGTAATTTTCAGGCTTCACGCATGTTGGCAAAAAAAGATATCAAGGGTGACTAACAGATGCACTAACCCTAAGAAACATTTTATTTAAGTCACAGCTGTAGTGTGATGACAGTTACATTGCCTTGCCTCATTTATCTTGGCTAGTCAACAGAGTTGTACAGTAGACAGTAAAAGCTATTTGGGGGGGAAAAAAAACCCAAATATTTTTAACAGTCCAAGAAGTTTTACATTAGAAACAATAAAGGAATTATAATTCACTTAGGTATCTCAAGGGTTATAGACCTTGGAATTTTTTTCCTGATTAGGTTCAGCCTCTAAGTATCACAAATCATTGAAGTTTGAATAAAAAACAGCTTTATGATATCTGTATATGTTCAATATAAACCTAATAGCTGGAGCAATGTAAAAGACCAGAGGAGATCTGCACATCAGCAAGCTCACATAAATATAAATAGCTTAATGCAAATAACAACTTCCTGATCCTTTCAGGATGCTGGAAATCTCCAAGGGCTATGCAGAGAATTCACTTTTCCAGAGCAGTATCCAGTTTCCTGGGGTCTGATTAATTTAAGGTTCTACAAACTGCAAGAGTACAGTTGTACAAAGGAAGAAAACATCTCCTTCCCATACTCCAGTCTTTGATTCAGTGGAACTCCAGTGCTAATATCTGCTATAGTCTTTGTCAACAGCCAGAAAAAACACCACTGAGGTGCTCTGCCTTTCCACATGGAAGATATAATTCCAACCACCACCAGTACCGTGTTTCTTCTAGTTGTTACACTGGGAAAATTGGTATAAACTAAGTAGGCAAAACTATAATAGGCTGGACTCAATCACTCTTAAGAAAATAATAGGCTATAATTTACATTCAGTGAGACATCACCAAAGCAAAAGTAATGTATGAATTTCTAGAATACACAATTTTTTTGTAATTACACTTAAACCACTGAGAGCAAAATTACTATCAATCATATTTTCATGACTTTCTAGGTTCCTTTTAAAAAACAGAAGGAGAACAATTAGACCACATCCCAACCCCGAGAGCACTGCAGCGTCTCTGCTTTAAGCAACACAAAATTCTTACTGGACTACAAAATACAATCCAGGCTCCAGTACCAGTTAGCTGAAAACAGATGGCAGTGCAGAGAGCCCGGGTCCCTGGAGAACTCACTAATCGAGTCACTCAGAAAGCTTTCATTTAGCGAACAGACCAGTTCAGTTACCTCTGTAGCCCAGCTGGGCCAGCAGCAGGCAGGGCTGTGGGATCACGATGGCTGATCCCTGCATGTCCCACGGGACACTTACAGCCGGCAAAGAAACGCAACCTTTCAGCGCTGCTTCTGGCTGACCATTATTTCGGCTGTCGCCACCCAGGATCGCTGCTGCGATTGCTACGGCTGGAGCACAGCCGGGCCTGGGCTGGCGCACAGCAGGGCCACCGCCACTGCTGCTGTCCCTGTTACAAACTCCGTCCCTCTGGTGCCACACCGCTCCTGCAGCAGTAAGCCCAAGGGATGGGGTAAGGGGTGATGTGTGGAAGCACCTCACACCCCTTCTAACACAGATACAGGCCCATACCCAGAGACAGATGGTCTTCGTGCCCCAGTGCCGTCCTCCTGCACAGAAACCCTGATGAATTCAATTGCCTGTGTAGGCTATTCAGCCTACTGCTCGTGCCTGTAGCTTGCAGCAGCCTTGCCTGGCCCTCCTGAGGAGATCCCAGGTCAGCCTTGCTGGACCTGTTTTCAAAAGCAGCTTTTAAATCTGCGCACGGCAGTGGCTCTCACAAGCGGCTGGGTGAGCAGCCTGGCCGTGCCGGAGCGCTGGCTGGTGCCTGCGAGCGGGGGGATGTAGAAAAGCCCCCGAATGAACAAGTGTAGAGGTTGACCCTGCGCTGTCTTGAAGGAAGAATATTGTATCTTCTTTTCTACCTTCTATTTTCTGCCGAGGCACGTACATGGAACAGCTGTCTCAAGTGCTGTGAGGATTTTAGGAGGCGCAAAAAAGGAAAAAACCGCGATGCTGCTGTTTAATAGATAAAGTCCAGCACAGCTGCCCGACAACACCCCAAAGCGGGCCGAGCCGCGCCCCTTCGCTGCCGGTAGCCAATGCGAGGCGCGCTTGCTGCGGGCGGCGCGGCGGGCGAGTAGCGCGGGGCGTTGTTGCGGGGCCGGGCCGGCGGGGCGGTGCGCGGGGCCGCGGGGAACGGCCCGTGCTCGGTGCTCCGCCCGGTGCGCGCCGCTCCGCCCGCCCGCCCGCCATGAACTCCCTGGACCAGGCTGAGGGTGAGTGCGGCCGCCCGGAGCGAGCCCGGAGCTGCTTCTTCGGCGCGCCGGGAGCTGCCGGCTCTGCGCCCGGGCTGCCCGAGCGCGCTGCCCCGTCCCTGCGGAGCGGGACGAAGCGGCCGCGGGAGGCCTCGGCTCCCTCTGCACCGCGCTCCCGGCGCTCCTCCTCGGCCCAGACAGGCGAGCTGGGGCGGGGTTCCGGGGCCTCCTCGGCGTCCCGCGCTCGGGGCGGGCTGTGCTGCTCCCCGGGCGGCCCGGAGAGCAGCGCCCGCGGGAGGGCCTGTGCTGAGGGCTGCTGCCTGCCCTGGGAGGAGGGAGTGCCCGCGGTGCCTTCTCGGTGCCGCTGCTCGGCTGCTTAGCTGAGGAAAATCCCCTTGTGCTCTGGGGGCTCCTTGCCCGCTCACGGCTTTTTGCGGGAGACGCGTTTCTTACAGCTCTTGAGCCCCACTAGGCGTTACACTGAGCCAGGGCTCCTTTTGCATTTGAAGAACGCGACCTCAAGTAGCTCCTTCTTGTCTGGGGACACTAGGTGGTTTGGGTTACAAGTTCTTTGAAGTTACAGCTTACAGAATGTCAAAAGCCTGAAAGGAGTTTTCGGTGTCCAAAGGCTGGCAGAGATCTTTAAAATGGACCAGTGTTTCGGAGTTAGCAAGTGTTTTGTCGCTGGCACCAGAAGTAGCAGTGTCGACAGAAACCGATAGTCCGGCGTTGTCAGGGCTTTGTTGCTATGCTTGTGCAATCTGAGGGTTCCCAGAAGTGTGCCCTGCTAGTCACAGCTGCCAAAAGGATCAACTCAGAGTAGGTTCTTAGAACGTGCATAGTTGAAAATAAGTTAAAACCTCAGTTTCCTTTTTTCTGGAAAAGTTTTTTTCATATTTTGTTTCAGTGATGTCTGCATTATGTGAGTGTTTTCTTGAGAACTTGTCAATAACCTATTTATATGCCTTCAGGGTGCTGTTTCTCAAATTGCAGGTTTTCGCGTGGTGCCTTGTGTTCCCCCTCTCACTTCAGTGGCTAGTTGGAGGGGTTTGTGCTAATCGGGGAACAGTTAATTAGTCGTGATTGCCGGCGGTGGTTTCACTTCCCCAGAAGGGATGTGGAGGACAGGCCATTAACTTCTGTGTTCTTGGCAGTAATTAAGACTGGTTAGCTGTTCTGTGGCTTAAGTCAAGGTACTATAATCTTCCCCCATAAATTCACCTGCAAACCACTTAGGAATAAATTGACAGTATAGAAAACTGCTTTCATAGTGATCATAATAGATTTATTTCTTCCAAGCTTATTCTTTAATTGCTTTATTGAGATTACTACTATAGCAATAGTTGGAAGTTGAAGTTCCACATTGATGCTGACAGAGACTTTAGCTGAAAGTTAAGTTGATCCTAATTAAAGCTTTACTTCAGGTAGAATTCTGGCTTTAACTTGAATGTTATCAAATATTGACCTTGTTGAAAGGAAGTGTAAATCTAGCCTGGACTTAAAGTGAAACAGCTCCTTGGAGGCAATTAAGAGTATCAACTTGAAATGGATTTAACAGCAATTTCAGTGGAAAGACCATGGGAGAACAATGGCAATAAGAAGAAAGATGTATTTTTAAGAAATAATGATTGGAATAAGATCATTGGAGCAGTGTTTGCTGTGGGTTTTTTGCATATGTATGTATGTATATATCACGACACTCCAAGTTTCTACAAAACAAAGTCATCAAAGCCACACTGCTGCAATAACCCCTTGAACAGTGGCAAGTGACCAACTTTTTTTTTAAATTGCCATTATGTTGATAGTAGAACATAATGGTTTCCTGATATACTTAACACTTCAAAATGTGATACTTTTTTTTTTGTTTTGTTTTGAGAGGCAATTTAAGCTACTATAAACCTAAGTCACTGTTTCTAAAGATGTCTGAAATAGTGTGATTTCTCAACTGTATTGATTTTTCTTTTTGTAAGTGGGAATGTTTTTTGCTTTTAGATTAACTCCACCACTGTACTTCTTACCTGAAGCTGAGTAAAGCTACTATGACTGCATATAAAGGATCATTGCATTGGTTTGCTCTGCCTGTTTGAGAGCTGGGTGTGCACAGGGGAATTCTTTTTATATTTTACTTTAAAATATGACTAAATAGATGAAGATCTAATTGTGCTTGATATACATCTTTCCCAGATCTCAAAGCTTTTGAAAGAAGACTTACTGAATACATTGCATGTTTGCAACCAGCTACAGGACGTTGGAGAAGTAAGTTTGGTGTTCCAAGGAATAAATAGAAGTCTGTCTTTCAAGCTTGTTAGATTTACCAGTGTTTATCCTTTATTTAAGTTTGCCCAAAGAAAAATTTTTATTTATACTTGCTTTAAAATTTGTGGCATACATTCAAACACTCTGCAGCAAGTTCATACAGGATAATAAACTAATATTTTAGCCAGAGTTAGGAAAATGAGGTTAAGATTGAATTGACTCAAGGCTGAATTATTCTGGAAATATCTGAAACAATAAGTTGTGTTTGTTTCTGTTTTATTTGGTTTTTATTATGTTACTGAAGGTTTTTTCTTCAAGACTCAGACTTCCCAGACTGTTGCTGTAGTTACTTAAACTAAATATGGTTAGGTGAGACAGTTCCTGTAAAATTGAAGGTGAAAAGGTTACACCAGTTTGCCATAAAGGCAACTTTGTTATGACAGGAAGGTTTGAAGGAGGGGGGAGGCAAAAAATTCCACAGATGTGCTGCCAGCTTTGGGATCAGTGGTCTGTGATGGAAATACACAACTTTTTGTTTTGTTTTTGAGACTCTGCTGAAGTTTTCCTACTCAAAGAACACAGACTTTTTTTTAGAACACATAAAATACTATGTTTTCTCCTGAGAGGTCAATTTTGAATGAAGGAACTGAAGGAATGACTACTTAGAAAGCAAAACCAAACACTATTAGCACTCCCTCAAACCCCCTTGTCTCAGAGCAGTCAGATATTTATGTGTAGTTCTGCTGAGTTTGTGCACACCTACTATAGGAATGCATTTGGCTTCCAAAATTGCTGTTTTCTGTCAGTTATAATTAAAAAAATACTGGAAACTTTTAAGCATATTTAAATGAGGTCTGCATAACTAATATTGTATTCAGTGGCTCATGTTTTTCCCCAGATTGCTTGTTTCATAATTCACATAAATAGGGACTTTCTATTTTAATTATAATGAGGTGTGTGATCAGTGTTAAGTTTTCTTCCTGTTATCCTGAAAAGAAAGTATTTATGTGATGTAGAGAAGAAGCTCTGCTTTTAATTGATCTTTTTCAACTTACTTTTGAAGAGATAACTTTGGCTCTTTCAAAGGACCAGGACGTCTTTACTTGACAGAATTTAGATTTTCAGATGTACTTGTTCTGTCCAGGAACTTTGTACGGAATCCTTAGGGTTTCACATATGAGAAATGTCTTTGCATATTTTCATTTCTGCTTTCCAATTAGGAGCTTTTCCTCCCTCAGGATTGAGAAAAGAAATAAGTGTTTAAGAGTTGCTACTGAAAAATAGATGCATTTAAATATGAGTGAGGTATACAGTTTATGACTCTCATTTTTTTTCTTCATCAGTGATTTTGATAGTGGTATCAGTCTGCACAGCAACTGGGGCTTGGAACTGGTTAATAGACCCAGAGACACAAAAGGTAAGGTCAGGCTAATGCCACATGTGCTGTGTTCCATGGCTTGGTGCTGCAGTCAGATGGTATATTGAAAACTGAAAGGCTAAACACATTCTCACGTGAAACTGGGAGGTGATTTTTATTAAAGCTGTCAAGCTGTCTGGAGTTGTTGTGGAATGTGTCCTGGGACAATGCCTGCCAAAACACTACCCTGAATGCTTATCTAAAGAATTGTTCACAAGTACTCGGAAATGGCTGGGAGCAGTATTTTATTTTTAGTTAAGGGATCTAGGCAGTGACTTTCTGTGTGCTTTAGAAAGTCTGCAGTTGAACTAACCTGATTTCTTTCCTAGGTATCATTTTTCACGTCACTTTGGAATCACCCATTTTTCACAATTAGCTGTATTACCCTAATAGGCTTGTTCTTCGCTGGAATACATAAAAGAGTGGTGGCACCATCAATGTATCCTTTGATAGTGTTTGTCACGTTAAAAGTGTAGTTATTGCAGTTGTTGAAGCCTGTGCTAATAATGCTTTTTTAGTTTTGGCTTACTGTGTGTACAAGGTTAGTTGCTTTCCTTGACACAATCCACTCAGTATAGCAGCCCGATGCCGAACGGTTTTGGCAGAATATAATATGTCCTGTGATGATGTAAGTGTTAGTGCTTCATTGCCTAAACCTTCTTTGTTAAAAAAAGGAAATAATTCAAAAAGACACATGGTCTGCTTTTCTGAACAGCACTTGTATATACCTCAGCAAATTCTGTGTCTGTAAAACTGGAATGCGGAATACTTAGTATCATCTTGTGTGTTGTTTTAAACTCTCCTGGTGACATTAAACGTGACTCATAATCGTTGGATTCAACTTTCAGGGTTTAAACTTTATTTATTTTGTTTTCTGTCTTGCAGACTGGAAAATTAATTTTGAAACCTAGGCCTCATGTTCAATAAGGGCTGTCTTCCTTCATGTTTTTCCACTGCCATGGAAACCAAAAATGACCTTTTTAAAGGTAGTATGACAGCAAAAAAATCAAATGGGACTGGTTGTCACTGCCTGGGAGTAAAAGTCTTAACACAGTTGACAGTGAAAGTGTGCAATATTACTTTCTTGAATATTTATCCAAATTTTTTGTTATCACATTATCAGTGCTTTTGCT